TTGTCTTGCCCCTTGACCAACAGGGAAACCATGACTGAGAGAGACTGTAGTCTGAGGGGTTTGCCCACAATCGCCCAGATGAGCGGGTGGTACGGGGAGGCTGAGAGCCCAGGCCTCCTGTAGCTCAGGCCAGTAGTACTAGAAGCTGGGAGGGGCTTCTGGAGAGAGGGACCCTAGAGTGATATGAAGGCCAGCCCACAGGCATCCTGGACTCCAGGCCACACCCATGTTCAAGCACACTGCCGGGAGAAAGAAGTCAGAGAATTTTGCTGGTTGTGTTATGCCAGCCTGAGTACGCGCACTCGGTCGACTCGCATGGAACACAGCCCGCTGACCCGCTGGAAATGAAGTCAAGAACTTTGCAGTGATGAGAGATGTGCTCCAATCATCAAACCCAAGGAAGAGAGAGACGGGCCAAGAAAAGAAGAGAGGGAAGCTAAACAGCCCATTTGCTCTAATGAATTGGGCTGTGGCCCCAAGAAGTCCAGAATCCCAACCTTCATCATTTGGCTCAGCCTAAGAGTCATAAAATTGTATGACTGGAAAGTAGCTTAAAAGCTATCCGTTCCAACCACTCTTCAGACTCTGTTCTCTCAGACCGTGGCGAGAAGCTGTCTGGCCCTGCAGTCACGCTCCAGTGGTGGGCTCACTAGCCCAGCACAGCATGCCTCAGCTCTGTCCTTGGAAACCTACCCCTTACCTTTTAAATGCTGATTCACTTTGATCCAGCGATTTGAGTTCTGGGACCCAAGCTTAAGGGAATAAACCTCAAATATGGAAAACACTAGATGCACAAATATATGTCTTACAGTGGAATGTATAATAAAGTAGACCTGGATGGTCTGTTCGGAGATTATCATTAACAGAGAGAAACTGCTCGCACACCTTGACAGAAGAACAGCTCTCTGGAAAAGATATTGTGTGAGCACAAGGTTTCTGCAAGGATGCCCATAATAGAGGGAAGTACAGAAGCACCCACCTTGTCAGCCAGATCAGGATGGATCTCAACAATCAATAGGGTGACAGATGTCACAGCCAGACCTATCCACAGCAGGGGTTAGCCAGGTCGTAAATATTTTTGGTTTTGCAGCCCATGTGGTCTCTGTTGCAACTACTCAATTCTGCCACTGTAGTGTGAAAGCGGCTGCAGATGATACATAAATGAGTGCATGGCTGTGTTCCAATAAAACTTTACAAAAACAGACAGCAAGCCGGATTTAGCCCTGGGCTGTAGTTTGCTCACCCCGATCTCTACCTTCACATCTATTAATTTTAAATGGCAGGAAAAAAAAAGAAAAAAAAAGGAACTATCCTCACTATCCAACCTAGGGAAATGGTTCTTTGAAAACGACCCATTGGATCCATATTTATTGAGTGCCTGTTTATGTTAGACTCTGCTCTGAACACCAGGCAGAAGGCAAGAAGCAAGTCAGGTAAGCACGCTGCATCAAAGGGATGTATTGAAAATTCTACAAGAGTCTGTGATAACAAGGAAAACCCTGACAGTGCTATGTAAAAAACAAAATATAAAATTGTGTATAAAAATCAGACCAACGTTTTAAGAACACACACACACACACACACACACACACAGGGAAAAAGAACAATGGAAGAAAAATACTCAAATGTTACTAATGTTTCCTTCAGCTGGCTAGACTACCCCTTCTCTTTATTTCCCTCTACTTTCCAATTTTTTCATATGATTGCATATTACTTTTACAAGAAAACAGTTCCTCCTGCTGTATTTAAAAGGGGAAGCTGGTCTTGATTGTAAGCTAAGCTCTCTGTCCCTCCTGCCTGCACCTGCAGTTTCCACCACTGTCCCTGAAGGTAATTTAAAACAAAAACAAAACAGCCAAGCTGCTCAGCCCCACATGTTCATCTACACAGGAGCGAGCTGGAGAGTTCAGCACCAGGGACAGCGCCACATACCGCAGGCAGCTCGGAGGGGTGAAAAGGGAGCCACCCCAGGTGGGAGCCACCCCAGGTGGGAGCCAGGAGGGCAAGGAGGCTGTGCCTTTCTTCTCCTGTCCTCCGACTACTTCCATTTGAGACACTCAGGCAACACCTGTCAGAGGAAACGTAACTGAAGCAAGAGAGCTGTCCCTGAGCCTGGCTGATGCAAAATGGAACTAGCCCTGTGACCCAGAGGGAGAGGAGAGGCGGTCGGATTGCTAGTAAAGGGGAAGTAAAAACAAACATTGTGCAGATCCCTTTCCCAACATTATTAGCTTGGGAGACACTCGCAAATATGCCAATACCAGTCACAGCAACATCTGCTTCTAATTGCTTCTCCCCCAGCATTTTCAGAGCCTGTCAGATGGCGTCTGCCCTAGGAGAAAATCCAATATTTTTAACAAACTCTTAAATCAGATGGCGTCCTTGGTGAGTAATCTCTTACGTGTTTGGTCTTTGAGGCTAAAAACAGTAAGCACACCTTTAAGGGACGCGGCCGTCAGCAGGGCTGGGTAATCGAAGGCCCCACTTCAAACAGCATGACTAAGAGTTTCCAACACATGCAGCCCAAATACAAGTGTTCTAGTGGGTTTTCTTTTTTTTTTAATTCCACTGTGTCCACGTCTTTATGTGTAATTTTTCTCTCTTTTCCAAATATTTTTGTAAAAAGAAGTTTCTTTGTAAAAGAAAAATGTGTGATTTTTTTTTTTTAAAGAGCACATCTCTCTGTGCTTTAATTTTCCCACTTGTGAAGTACTTTAAGCAAGACACCTATGGATAAAACTTCACATTTTCTTTAAAGAAACTGCCTGTGTTCTTAGGTTCGCAAAATGCCAGCAGCCCCTTCCAACAGCCTGTTGGGAAAGTGTCTTCCTGCAGTGGCCAACCTGACCTTCAAATCTGGGAAATCCAAGGTGGGGAGGGAGGCAGTCCTGGAGGGAAAGCCTTTAGGTAGAACCTTTTAGCATTGCAGCAGCCTTGAGCCCTTCAGGGTGGGACCACTGAACCCCTGAATCCTAAATGCAGGAGGGCAAACTGACATTCCATACCTTCTCCTTTCAAAGTTAAGTTTAACATGGGTTTTATTATAAACTACCCTGTAGGACTCAAGTGGCCGTGTGCCTCCTTCAGACCAGAGTAGTGCTTCTCAGACCTTGAAAACAAGTCAGCCTAAAATCACGGCACACCCCCAGAGGCAATTGGGCCATGGCTCTTCCTCACTACTCTCCCACAAACCCATTCTCAGGCCTGGCTTCTCACTGCTAACCCAAACCAGGACTCACAGCATTGAAAGCCTCTTTGCCTGGGGCCAGTACCGTTGCCTGGAGCCCATGCCCCACCAGGTCAAGCCAGTCCCTGGTCCCTGCACACGTTTCACACTTCTACCTTCTATACATACACATTCTGCATGACTGCCTTCCTCCCTCATTCCTTCACTTGGTCATCCGAGGCTTGCTGAGTGTCTACTACGTGCCAGGCACTGTTCTAAGGACTACAAGTCAACAGCAAACAAAGTAGACAGAAAATCCCTACCCTGGAGGGGCGCCTGGGTGGCTCAGTCAGTTGGGTGTCTGACTTTGGCTCGGGTCATGGTCTTGCGGTCCGTGAGTTTGAGCCCTGCATCAGGCTCTGTGCTGACAGCTCAGAGTCTGGAGCCTGCTTCAGATTCTGTGTCTCCCTCTCTCTGCCTCTTTCTCTCTCTCAAAAATAAACATTAAAAAAAAGTTTTTTTAAAGAAAAAAAAATCCCTCCCTGGAGAAACTTACGTTCAAGTGAAGGCAGACAGGCAAGCAGATAAACATGTAAAATCCACTGTACACCGGGTGATGATACATAGTAGGGAGAACAGTGAGGGGGCAAAGGGGACGAGTGAATGCCAGAGGGTGACCATCACGGTGATCAGAGAAGGCCTCACAGGAGAGGTGGCATTTGAACAGAACCAAGCAGAGAGAGGGAGCCTCTACAGAGAAAACTGGGAGAAGAGCATTCCAGGTGGAAGGAGCAGCAGGTGCAAAGGCCCTGAGGCAGGAACGTGCTAGTGTGTTCTAGGAAAGGCAAGGAGGCCAGTGGGGCTGGAGGTGATGAGAAGGGGGAAGGGAAGCTCATGTAGGTATTGAAGGCCACTGTGGGGATACTGGCCTTTACCATGAGTGAGATCAGAGCCTGGAGTGTTCTGACCAGGGGACAGGCACATCAGACTTACACTGTGACAGACACTCTGGCTGCCATGTTGAGAACAAACTATAAGGAGTGGGGAAAGAGCTACCACATAGGAAACTACTGCAATTAACCCAGTAAGAGTCAACGGCAGCTCAAGCCAGTCACCACAGGATATGCTCGTGACTTGGATGTGGGGGAGACAGGACGAGCAGAGACAGGCACGGTTCTGACAGTTCCGACCCGCATCCCTGGAAGGGTGGAGCTGCTACTTATTAAGTGCGTGAGGACAACGGAAGCAGCAGCTTGGTGAGCAGCGGGGTGGAAACTCCTCTGTGGGACTGATCGCCACCAGCCATTTAGCCCCAGAAGGCACGTGATCTCCAAGAAGCCTTCCTCACCTCAAGCAGAAAGCCCTCTCCCTCTGAATGGTTGCTTGTGCCTCCCTTACTCCCCCACCCGTCTCTCTCTCTCCCCCTCACACACACACACACACACACACACACACACACACACACACACACGCACACATACACACACACACACAGACATACACACAGTAGTGCTCCGCACCACTTATCTGCAACCGCACATCATTCCCTTGAGTAACCCAAAGGCTAATTCCTTTTATATCATCTGGAAACATCTGCACACAGTAGGTACTCAATAAATGTTTTCAGAGCCGCACCTCTGATGTTTCAATACTCTAACAACCCAAGAACGTTCTTGCAGAACACATACACATCACGCTGAGCACCGATGAAACGTCAGGTGGTAATTACCCCGTCTCCAGGGTCCTGCACCTAGATGCTGGCCCGCCCCCGGTCAGTCACACCGCCGTGGCAAGCTCTCCTGTGGAGAGGCCACGGGAGGAAGACGGGCATCACCTTGCCGGTCCTTATATCCCAAGCTTTGACTTCGGGGTTGAAGCCTCCACACACAAAAAGGCTGTGGTCTTTCGGGTGAAATTTCAAAGTAGTGATTCTAAAGTCACTCTGACCGCTGAAGAGCTGGGTTCCTACAACACAGAGAAGAGAAGAGAGCATTAAAAAATACTCGGACCACAAGATAAATATCTTAAAACTAAGATGCCATCTGACATAGATCTCTGGGCCCAAGGGCCCACGAGACTTTCTGGAAGCACAACAGACGTCATGGCACTTGAATCTCACTCTCTGACCAGCCCCGTCCCTGACTGGCCGAACTGCCCCCCAGGGCCGACCCAACGGCCGGACCCATGAACATCACCATTCCTGTGTTCCATCGACACTGCCTATCAACTCATTTAAACCACACAACCGCTCAAAACCTGCTCTACGACTGAAGAAAAGCCAAGGCTCAGGGAGCTTAAGTAACATTGTCAAAGCTGCACAGTTAATAGAGAGTATTTACCCAGGAGTCTAAAAAAGAAAAAGCAAGATGTTCCAAAGTGATCTTTGTGGGATCAGCCATCTTTCAACCATGACCTTACATTCATGACCACGGATGATTTGCTACAGGGAGTGGCTGGTAATGGTAGCATGATGCTCTGGGCAACAAGTGACAGCATGACCCCACAGGGCCCCGGGCGCCAGCATGGACAGGCAGTGTGGCCCACTGGGGTCTCACTGATTCTGCAGGACTCAAGACGGTCCTTGTCCTCTGCATATCTGTCATGAAACCGCTGTCGAGCGCTCACGTGCACTGTGAAAACATTTGTGTGTACACACACACGTGGTGGGGAAAATGTCGGTTTCGCCACTGTGAGCTTTCAGACGTCAGCGACATAAACAGGCTGAACTCAGGGCGTGTGGGGAGCAGATCTCCGACCCTGAGCCCAGGTCTGTTGGGTTCCAAAAGCCAGCACTCGTTCCTCTATGTTGTGCCACATTATGCCCCAGGGCACTGGCTGTAGTTCTCGTGTGCTCCATTCAACCCCACTGAAAATGCAGCCAGAAACCAGACCAGCCTTGGGAACCACGGGACACGTTCCCAGGGGCCAGGCCATCTCACGGGCATGGCACCTGCTATGCAACACCCACCAAGAGCGTGAAGGTGGTTTCCCTCAGAGATGTCAGCAATGGCTCCCACTGCCCAGGAGGGACAACCTTGACTGCCCCTGGCCCACAGAAACTCCTCCACTGGACTGAGGCCATGGGCAGTTAGGGACACATGAAGCTGGTGGCTGTGGAGACCAACGTGATGCCAAGATCTCCAGCACCATTTCCTCTCACGGGAACCCAGAGGCCATGTTTGCTCATCCATTTCAGAAAGCACTTCCAGAAGGCTGCCCTGCTTTGTGTTCAGGACCCCCGCACACAGCATTCTACCAGCTCACCAGGTAAGGAAATGAAAGTTCATCGACTAGTAGTCTTGAGTTACAGCAGGAGCCTTTATAAACCCAATTTGCCTCGATCCATGGTCTCTGCACTCGTCTGACAGCAACACCCAACAAGGGACAGCCCTTCAGCACGTTATCACGGGGACGCGTGTTTGCTTGTAAGTTACGTACCGCGCTACCGTGCGAATAAATTGTACGCATTAAGATACCAAAAATAAACTATCTTAAAGGAGAGACAAGGACACAATAACCAATATTTTAAAATATGAGCACTGGGTGTCGTAGGGAAACCAATTTGACAATAAATTGTATTTTAAAAAATAATAAAATATATTTTAATGTGCCATTTTCTAAGAGTGTCAACAAACCTCTGTGAAATCATTAAATCAAACGAGTTTTTAGTGAGAGCTACCAAATTGACACTGCTTCCATTTTTTTTCAAAGGTAAGAAAACTGTCTGTGGCTCAATGATTTGAAAGTAGCCCAGTTAGGGCTCCAGTCCATTCTCTGAGGTCATCAGAGCTAACAAAGACTCTTCCCAGAGATGCACAGACCCAGCTGGAAGATGCTTACCACTGGCGACAAAGGAGACACCGTCCGCTTCTGTCCATCCCTGATACAAAGGATTTTGTGAACATGTTATGAGTGAGGCCCCAGTTCCCCTCAGGTCAGAAAAACGCTCCTGCAACTCATCACAGGGTATTACTGCATTCTCACATTTTTAATAGCCCAATTCAAAATCCATTGACATTGTCATCTCAAGGATTTTGAAGCAGGTTAGAAAAACTGCTCCCAAGTTCAGGGTGCAGATATTAGTGTTTTTAATAGGTGACACATTCACATAGTTTTTGGTTAACAAATTACAAGATGGTGGAAACAAAAACATCTCTTTTCAAAATGTTCTTTCCACAGTACAAACTTTTGGGAAAGCTCTTCATTAAAGTGTCACCTTTCCCTTGATGAAGGGTTATGTTGATTTTTTTCCAGTATCTTCCAGGGGCCTACAGTTTGCAGTCACTTGTCATCAGAGAAAACTTTGGAAATACCTGAGGTTTTGTAAATGGAGCCTCTATACTTCTTGAAGTTCAACAAGCCCCTTAACTGTTCCACTCAAACGGGCAGTGCACAAAGTCTTTCACGGTCATCCTGTGTCACTATGATGCGAAGAGGGGCCATTGTGGGTCCTGTCATCCGTAATGGCGAAGGGCCTATAAATAATAGCCTAGCGGTCCAGCCCAAGGGGGCAGTTAAGGCAAATGTGGGTCTCTGCCTGGTGGAATGTCGAAAAGCCATTCAAAACTGGAATCACAAACCGTGCTCTTTGGCAAGACAGACAATGCCTGATACCTGTTCTTGGATCACAAAAGTATTAAGTAGGGATTGATACGGGCAGAGGCTGGGAAGAGATTCACCGACTTGAAGTGGTTTGTTCTAGGGGTAGTAAGATCATTTTTTAAGTTACACCAATATCGTTGTCATGATGTTGTGTGTGTGTGGCTTTTTCTTAATAAAGAATCCTTCTAACCAGGCATCAGAGGGGAGCAGACTTACAGGAGTCTGGGTCCTACGTGTCTCGTTAGGTCAACAGACAAGCAACTGTCTCAAGCAAAAACTCACATCCTGGGGAATTAACCTGAGTGGAAACCCGATATTCCTTGAGCTTCCTCTTCTTTCCTGAAACCCATCAAGCTATAGTTGGTGGTCAGAGACCACCCATGCTATGCCCGATTAGAGATGCCCCCTCCTAGGGAGGATGGAGGTCTCCCCACGGCCGGGACTTACAGAGACCTGCTGGGACAGGCCTTGGAACTGTGGCTCAGGCCTCAGGGCACGTGCCCCAGCCAGGTAGCCAGGGGACCCATATGGGGGATGAAGAAAGGGACCACCATCATGTCCCCTCAATGGAAAAGGAGCACATAGATGCCACTGTGGCCCCCACGCTGCTGCAAAGGCCCCGGCCAGAAATCTCCTCCTGGCACAGGCAACAGTACCTACTGTGGCCCTCCTGCTCGTTCAGAGTCACTGCTAGTCCTTAAGCCCAAAAGGAAAAATAAACGGTCTGCCTGGAGAAAAATTTTCCCTGTTTCTTGGACCATGGCATATAACCATATGCTTATTTCAGAAACAGCAGTGAATTAGGCATGTTTTTTCAAAAAGTGCAGTGATACAGTCTTGCCAACAATGAGGAAAAGGTGGGAGGAAAAGCAAAAGCTGAGTTGCTAAAAGATGAGGACTGAGCTTTTTCTGCTAAAAAAAAAAAAAAAAAAATGCACGTATTTCTGCATGTTATTCTTCAACCTTCCAAAGAGACTGGGAAGAGCCTTCGAGTCTCGTAAGTACTCCGATGTTCCCGTTACAACACAAGCGATGCTTTCTATCTTTTCTCCTACTTTTTGTTTATGAGAACTAGGCCTTTGCTGTATCTGCTAAAAGGGTCCAAAACTAAAAGATTTTAGAATTTCTGATAAGCTTCCAGATAGCTCATGGGAAACACAAAGGGGGAGATTCTACCGGGGAAGGAGGTCTAGCACAAGGCTGTGGCTCAGAAGTCGGGGACCCCAGCTGTCCGTGCCCGGCACCGTGCTCGGTGCAGGAGGTGGTGCAGCAGAGGGGCTGAGAGTCACCCAGACCCAGGCCCCACCCCAGGAGAGGGACCTGCCTAAGTCTGTGAATGGCAGGCTGTCTGGGGACCACACGCGAGAGACATGCATCCATAATGCGTAGAGTGCTCTGGAGGGCGCGGCAGACACAGCAAACAATAAAAGGGAGCTATGATTGTTGGAAAAAGTTAACCCCCGAAGTACTGAATTCATCCTTGGTTAAATTAAAACCTAAAACCAAGGGCTACAAGTTCTTAACAGCAGGAACCTTGAGAGAGGAATGATTTGGAGTTTCTGTCTTGAGGCTATGAGAATACAGTGCCCTGGGCTAGTCTTTCCATTTTGTTGAAGAGACACAGATAAAGGCTGGAAATATTTATCAGAGACTATCTTGTTCCCAGCCGCGCGGTGAGGTGAAGGTCCTTTCTTGTCAGACTTGTTCCTCCTCTACATGTTCCTACATCGAGTGCCCTGTTCACCACGTCCTCTCCTCCCTCACGACGCTACCTCAAGCACAATGGTTAGTTGCTATGTAACCTTTAACCTTGAGACTATCTTGCTTGGTTACATGCTTGTTACAGAAAGTTCTATTTATTCACTGTATGCTGCTTATGGGAAATTGAGTTTTAAAATATTTAATCCACTAACACTGACTTTATTGATCTCGTTATAATGAACTCAACCAGTATAAGAACTGTTCAGATTCTCTTGGAGTTAGGAAAAATCACTTCTTTTCCTCCTTGAATCAATAATGATACAAATAAACCATAAATTGTCATTAGGGCAAAAATACGCAGAAACTCAATTTATTCTCTTGACGCTATCATTACTACCCCTGGTTCCATCACCAATATTGAGAAGATAAGGCAGCTGGTAACACTAGCCAGGAAACTCCTCGGAGGTTCCCCTCTTCCTTTCTCAGGTAGAGACAACAGATGACCACCCATGTGGCTGGGGCAACACCACCTGTCCACCCTAATGCCTACCTTGGGGGACCCTATCGTCATGCAGCGCTCTGAGTCCCCAACGGGTCCTCTTCTTCCACTCAGCATGTCTGGCCCCCAGCCCAGTTCCTGGCACATAACAGACATTTAATCC